TGTTTGTTTATTTATTTTAGTAAATATCATTCAAAGTTTAATTGTTAAATTCTAATTCTGGTCCACCATGTAATGCGCCTCAGTGACCACCAGGTGGCGACATCCAACCACATATGTATGCACAGATTGTCCTGTGACCACTAGAGGGAGCCCTGCAGAGACTTCAGATGCATTGTACTTCCCAAATCTCTTCTCATCACTTCTCCTCATCTCTTCCCCTCATCTCTTCTCCTCATCTCTTCCCCTCATCCCTTCTCCTCATCTCTTCTCCTCATCTCTTCTCCTCATCTCTTCCCCTCATCCCTTCGTCCCTTCTCCTCGCCCCTTCACCTCATCCCTTCTCCTCGTCCCTTCTCCTCGTCCCTTCTCCTCATCTCTTCTCCTCATCTCTTCTCCTCATCTCTTCCCCTCATCCCTTCGCCCCTTCTCCTCGCCCCTTCACCTCATCCCTTCTCCTCGTCCCTTCTCCTCGTCCCTTCTCCTCATCTCTTCTCCTCATCTCTTCTCCTCATCTCTTCCCCTCATCCCTTCGTCCCTTCTCCTCGCCCCTTCACCTCATCCCTTCTCCTCGTCCCTTCTCCTCGTCCCTTCTCCTCATCTCTTCTCCTCATCTCTTCTCCTCATCTCTTCCCCTCATCCCTTCGTCCCTTCTCCTCGCCCCTTCACCTCATCCCTTCTCCTCGTCCCTTCTCCTCGTCCCTTCTCCTCATCTCTTCTCCTCATCTCTTCTCCTCATCCCTTCTCCTCGTCCCTTCTCCTCGTCCCTTCTCCTCGTCCCTTCTCCTCATCTCTTCTCCTCATCTCTTTACCTCATACCATCTACTCATCCCTTCGTCCCTTCTCCTCGCCCGTTCTCCTCATCCCTTCTCCTCGTCCCTTCCCCTCATCCCTTCTCCTCGCCCCTTCCCCTCATCCCTTCTCCTCATCCCTTCCCCTCATCCCTTCTCCTCATCCCTTCTCCTCGCCTCTTCTCCTCGCCCTTCTCCTCGCCTCTTCTCCTTGTCATTTCTCCTCGTCCCTTCTCCTCGTCCCTTCTCCTCGTCCCTTCTCCTCGTCTCTTCTCCTCGTCCCTTCTCCTCGCCCCTTCCCCTCATCCCTTCTCCTCGCCCCTTCTCCTCGTCCCTTCTCCTCGTCTCTTCTCCTCGCCCTTCTCCTCGCCCTTCTCCTCGCCTCTTCTCCTCGTCCCTTCTCCTCGTCTCTTCTCCTCTTCTCCTCGCCCCTTCTCCTCGTCCATTCTCCTCGTCCCTTCTTCTTGTCTCTTCTCCTCGCCCTTCTCCTCACCTCTTCTCCTCGCCCTTCTCCTCGCCTCTTCTCCTCGTCCCTTCTCCTCATCCCTTCTCCTCGTCTCTTCTCCTCATTCCTTCTCCTCGTCTCTTCTCCTCGCCCTTCTCCTCGTCTCTTCTCCTCGTCCCTTCTTCTTGTCTCTTCTCCTCGCCCTTCTTCTTCCCCCTTTTCC